TTATTTCTTTAAGGCTGTTGCAGTCATTTCAAAAAAAAAATTCTAGACACTGTTCCTCTGTTGACTTCATGCATGAATTTATTTGGGAACATGTTGGTTTGCGGTGGGGGCTCCTTAGCCTGAGTCTTACGCAAAACGATCGAACTGCTTTCCTTTTGGAAAATCAGTTTACTAATACAGCTCGACATTCTACGTCGTTATATTTTCAAATTTTTTCTGGTTAACGAACTTAACCTGTGGTTAAATATGTTCTGTCATCTTGTTCGGCCTTTCTTTGCAATTATAGATGGACAATTACGTGAAGATGAATCACCCTGAGGATGCCATGTTCCTGGAGCAACTGGGCGTTTGCAAGCTCTGCCAACTGCGACTTCTGGATGGCCCCACTTTCCACTCCTACTCTTTTCCAAGACGATACATGGACTTTCTGATGGATAAAGTTGACTCTGTGTGTGTGGTGTGCTTTGGTCTTCTTCAGAGTTTGCGGATTTCCCATGCAGCAGCTGCAGCAGGACCAGTTGAGAGTTCTGGTGACGTAATTTCTCAGATCATACAGGTCGTAATGTCTTCCAGCTACCGTTTTAGTGGATTTCAGCTCAATGTAAGTCCTCAGCACTGTCTCTGCCGACCTTATGAACCTTATGCGCGCTTTCTTAGTAGACACAGTCTTCTAATTATGAAACGCTTGTCTTCTGAAAAGACTGTCTACTTAGGCTAAATATATTGTTGTTCTCGGCCTTATTCAACAGAATGACGTCGTGCTCAACAACCGGCCGTAAACATCCCAATATACATAATATAGTTCCAATTACTGATGGTAATAAAATCCAGATTTCCTTTCTGGCTTTTGTAACAGTGTTCTCATTTCCCTTACGAAGTTAAATTAGCGTCACTATAGGTTTAGAAGAAATTTTTTTATTATGCGTTCCACAATCAATAGTCCCTTCACCTTCTATAGACGAACTAATGAAACTATACTTCGCCCCATATTACGAATTAGCATAGCTCGGCGTTCTGCTGCTATTGGCGTCCGTCCATTCTCTTAAATCTTTCGGACTTTTCAGCTAGGTTGAACACCTGGGCAGCTGTTGGCCTTCATCACCGGAAAACGATAGCACAGTTCAGTTTTCTGAACTGTCTGGATTGTAAGCCTTTTTAAAAAACTTCACCTATTTAAATAGCCCGCGTCAGAATAGTTTTGGCAGGCTCCGCATCGTTCAATGAAAAGGCATAAGTACTTTGGCTGTCCTTCTGGTCTGGCTGAAATATCTTGAAATTATGCTGCACGATAATCAACTGAAAATACCTTTCAGCATTTCGATCAACATTTCACGAGAGGAGGAAGGCTAACTACTATAAAATTGGCTTGAAACTGGCTTTCTTTTTTTTTCTACAACGCAAAGCTTCAAGTTAAAACTGAGAATCTTGTCGTTAAATTTCAGCAAGAGAACTCGTTCCATCTTCAGTACACGAAGCCTCATTCTAAGATCCACTTAACTGCTTAGCAGCCTGCCTGCCTTTCGCGTCTGGAAGTCACGATTCATGCTAAATTCGACCAAAATTTTATGCTCGATGCTAACCTACTTTGTTAACAGGAACCTTAGGCTACCTCCTCCTGCCAGGAGTTGTCTACACTCAGTGTATCTACTCTATTAAAATCTGTTTTTCCATTTTATTACTATTTAAGTACTTAGAATTGTTCAGGTACACCCTATGTGAGATTTGTTTTTATGGTTAGCAATGGGGAATATTAAGGAGAATTAACCTTGCCTACTACTTCTGTGATCTTCGCATGCATCCCGAAACTCAACTTTTCACTTTTATCGGAAATAGAGGATGTTCCTAGCAATACTCTTCTCTCCTGTCTTGATTCAACCTCCTTCACTTTCATCAGTTGCGTTTCGAATTTATCACTCACTCCCAGCCGTTTCCACTACCATACGCACGACAATTTTTGCCTTCCCTTCAGATATCCGAGCCGGCGGATATTTCGCTACGGGATCGTGCTGTCTGGGCCCTTTTAGCAGAACGACACCAACAAGCCGAGCCTGGCGGCGGTGATGAAAGGCTCGGAGACATATCAGCGGTCGCGGATGTCGCAGTTCCGGCTAAAGTGGTCTTCCGAAATTTGGCTTACGCTTTGATTAAGGAGCAGTTGTTGGTACGTGTTCAAATTGGCCGATGCTTTTTATGCTAGGCAGTCTCTTTATCTGCTTCGTCCATGTTTTTTTTTCATGAACAACCATGATTTATCACTTTGGTCCACTAGTTCATCTAGGCAAATGCCTCCGCCCTCTTTGAAGTCGCTCTTTTTGTTGCCGTACCGCTACTGGTCCTTTTTATTAGTTATCTGAGGTATAATCGCTTATGGATTTTACGAATCTGCACATCCTCGGGTGTATACTTGAGAAGAGAAGGCACTCCCAGCGACCCTGGGCTTGGCATTCTAATTCCCACTATGCAAAAAGCCTTCGTGCTTTAAAATATGAGTAATGTGGCACTGAATAACGTATAATTAGTTTGCAGCCGTCAATGGTGTAATCACTTCATATTTGTTCTTTGACGCTCTGTTCAGCGGGGGAGGGGCAGGCGAAGTGCCTGAACACTGCACTACCTGATAACAAATTTCTCCGGCGTCCTTTCCTAAAATCTGCTTTCGTACGCCGATGAGAGGATCAGGCCTCAGTTTATCTAAAGTTAAACGTCATTTCGCCGCGTCGTGCATATACTGCTGACGGCAACATACCTCTCCGAACATAACAGCGTACACATGTCCCAAAAGCGCAAAACCTCTCTCTCCCCTGTCTATTCAAGGGTAACGCGGGTTGTGACTATCTCTCACCCTACACTAGGAGATCTATGGTTGGTTGAAATTCTGAAACGCCCACTGTTTAGAGGGTACGTCACAGTGGCTACAACTATGGACGGATTGGTTATGGGACATTTCTTTGCAACCAAACAACTACAAGAGGAAGGAGGCATGCAAACAGGACACACCGGTGAACCAGTTTCAGGTTATTCCATTCAGCCAGTTGTCGGACCTTTTGCCAAATAAAGAAAATCAAGTTTGGATTGGCTTGGTGCGTTTGGCAGGGTGCGAATATAGACAGCGTAGTACAGAAAAATGAAACCCGTTTTTTTTTTTCAGCTCCAGGTCATGTCCGGCAAAATGCGCGCTTAGGGAGTTATCAGTCAGGTAAGCTTCGCAGAGGTGATTTATCCATAGAATGAGTATGCCTGAGAGTTAGTCCATGTTTGGCGATCAATGTGTACGATGGAGGAGTATTTCGCAAGTCAGGTCACGAGACATGCTTGTCAAATTGGACCCCGAACCTAGAGCCCTCGCGGCCAGTCACACAGCGACTAGGAATAATGTAGAAAGGCGTACCGACAAAGACAAGGACGACTAAAGTAGTCATTTCGGGTTTATTAGCCATAATCAGCCAACTTTATCCAACCCTAGATTTGAATAATCTGGGATTCAAATTCGGACTCTTAGCTCATTGAGCTTTAAGCTTTAAGTTCTGTTATTCGGCTGCCGTCCATTTGTCCAATTTTGAATTGCCGGTTATCCAAGCCTGGGTTCGGATATGGTTGGTTGGTTATGGTCCATAAACCAGCAATCACCATCTCGGTTTTCCTCGCCTTTGTCCGTACTCCTTTCTGCATCATTACTGGTCCCAAGACAAATGCCCACGCGGACTCTGAATTGGGCTTCAATAGCAGCCCGCCATCATCGGTAGCCGACGCAATTAAACTCCAAGTTTGCAAGTACGGTGGCCGACAACTCACGGACAAGCGTACCTCATTGTTTCAGAAAATGTGGTGACGAGGACACATCCCCAGACTTCAAGGACATCAACATCGCGCAAATGTACAGATGCAAGGGAAGGTGGCAATTAGGTGATAAACACGGGGGGTATCTTCTTTGTCACCATCACAGGCATAATAGTCGCACTTGTTCTATTCAATCGCCTGAACGGGCATCTGGAAAAGTGATTTTTTTTTCAAAACGTTGTGCGGATTCCGAAAAGGCCGCGGCCCATCAAATGCAGAAAAGGTGCCACAAAGTGATGACCAACCTCTACGCTACGTTTATAGATCTGACGAAGGATCTCTACACAGTGGATCGCGTAGGGCTCCGATGAAGCACACTTAAATTCGGATATCCGGGGTGATTTATACAAATTATCTGAAAACTACGACGGGTTAATAGCGCGCTTCACGGGCAGTGGGCCTGTCTCTGAGGCATTCGCGGTGCCTCCTGGAGTGATGCTAGACTGCGTATTTGTTCCCAGCCCACTTAGCCTCATGTTCTCCCCTATGCTGGTGGGCGCCTACCATGAGTAGTGACTGGGGGTCGACATTGACTATCAAACGGACATAAAACTGTTTCACGTCCGTCCTCTGAAAGCGTCTTCAAGGATGCCTTATTATTCGCGAATGACTGTGTGCCAACGGCCATTGCGACAGAGGGCATGCAGCGAAGTGTAGGTCTCTTCTCCCCCAGTTAAATGGATGGATGGATGGACCACCAACACGGATAAGACAGTTGCCATACGCCAACCGGCGTCAAATGTCTGATACATCGAAACTGGCAGTTCGAAATTTGCTGCCTGCATCACAGAGGTAAAAGAATTTACTTTAAAACTAGTTGAAGAGCCGGCTTAGGAGGGATATACATGCCGTGTTTTAAGTTCGCAATGGACTTTGGATGTTTGTTAGCGTTTTAGCACTTATCATCCAGAAGGGATATCTTTTAGTAAGGTGAAACCGGAAAAGACAAGGGAGACCTTGTTGGCCGTATATCACCCGCGATTCGAACTCGCGACCCTTTGGTCACGGAGTGTAACACTCTACCATTGAGCCACGGGCCCGTTGCGATCGGGACTATGGTGATAGTGTGGGGGCTCACCGATCTGGTTACGGAATATGTGTCCCATTGTGCCTTGGAGTTCACTATAGAGCATTCACAGGCAGTCGCATAGCGACTTGTAGTTAATGTTTATAAGCTGTAGCACCCTTCCTATGCAACAAACTGTGAGTGGAGTTTTGAAAATCGACACTCCTTGATAAAAGTTCACCCACCGCCAAAGGAACTCACTTGT